AGGTTTTCTTCCACAACTGAAAGAATCCAAGCAGCAGAGAACATCTGAGGACTGGGGCGTGTAGTGCTTTAGTTAACAGCTGATAGACAAGAGAAGCTACCTGCTCCTGATAGAGGACAGCAATGATCCAGATGTACACGGGTCATTTCTTTGAAGAACGGTGGTCATGCCGCAGTTAGCAATGAACCTGCTCCCAGCCCCGTCTGGAAAATTGTTGCACTGAGCAGACAAGGGCACAGACGGGAAACAGACACCACTGTTCTCCTGTTCATGCTGTTGAGGTGTAAATCCCTACTTCTGCTACAGAATTCCTGCTTCTGGACTGTGCTGCAGTCAGTTCACAGTGACTGCCTCTTTGCTGGCAATGCACAGCTTGGCGTTCGCTCATCGAGCTCCTTGGAAGTAATGTTTTTGTTCAGAAGTCCACAGGAGTGGGGTGGAAATCTGGAGCAAGGCAGATGTACTCTTGGTAGAAAACAATCAGGTCATGGAATACTTAAATGACCAGGACACTGGCCGTAGGCCACGATGGGATGCACCCATCAGTGCCTGATGTCATTGTGAAACTCCTCGTGATGATCACAGCAACTGGAAGAGGTTTGTGAGGACTGGAGGAAAGCAAATGCCACTCCTACCTTCAACAAGGGTGAGAAGGAGGCCCCAGGCAAGCAGAGGATGGTCAGCCTCACCTTGATCCCTGGGAAGGTGATGAAGGAAGGTTAATGGTATTGTGGACTGCATCAAGCAAACTATATCCAGCAGGTCAAGGGAGGTGATACCTCTTCTCTCCTCAGCACTGGTGAGGCCACGTCTGGAGCACTGTGTGCAGTCCTGCAGTACCAGGGAGACATGAAGGTATTCAAGTCATCTGGACGTGGTCCTGGGCAACCTGCACTCAGTGGCTCTGCCTGAGCAGAGAGGTGTCAAGGTGACCTTCAGAGGTCCTCTGCAACCTCAAACATCCTGTGATTCTCTGATAAATGTTGTAAAGAACTGAAGACTTGTAAAAGGTCCCATAGGTCATGTACTGGCAGCTGAATGCCTTAAGGGGTGCCTAACAGTGTCTAAAATGACACCGGGCACCAGGTTTAAACACCTGAATTACTCTGTGTGTCTTGGCAGTAATTTATACATTTGTTCCACTCAGTATTGCACCATTGGATGGAGCAGATGACAAAACAGGTTCAGGATGTGGATCCTGTTGAAGAGGAAGAAGATATTTGACTTTGAGGTGTTGGCTGGTGTGGTATGTCAAGTGACACACTGCAGAAATTGCTGCAGTTCTTTTCCAAGCCTCAACGTTTTAGAGTTTCTTTCTTTCTTTCTTTCTTTCTTTCTTTCTTTCTTTCTTTCTTTCTTTCTTCTTTCTTTCTTTCTTTCTTCTTCTTTCTTTTCTTTCTTTCTTTTTTCTTTCTTTCTTTCTTTCTTTCTTCTTCTTTCTTCTTTCTTTCTTCTTTCTCTCTCTCTCTCTCTCTCTCTCTCTCTCTCTCTCTCTTTCTCTCTCTCTTTCTCTCTTTCTCTCTTTCTCTCTTTCTCTCTTTCTCTCTCTCTTTCTCTCTTTCTCTCTTTCTCTCTTTCTTTCTCTCTTTCTTTCTTTCTCTCTTTCTTTATTTCTCTCTTTCTTTCTTTCTTTCTTCTTTCTTTCTTTCTTTCTTTCTTTCTTTCTTTCTTTCTTTCTTTCTTTCTCTCTCTCTCTCTTTTCTCTTCTCTCTTTTCTCTCTTTCTCTCTCTCTTTTCTTTCTCTCTTTCTTTCTCCTCTTTCTTTCTTTCTTTTTTCTTTCTTTCTTCTTTCTTTTTTCTTTCTTTCTTTCTTTCTTTCTTTCTTTCTTTCTTCTTTCTTCTTTCTTTCTTTCTTCTTTCTTTCTTTCTTTCTTTCTTTCTTTCTTTCTTCTTTCTTTCTTTCTTTCTTTCTTTTCTCTCTCTCTCTCTCTTTCTCCCTCCCTCCCTCCCTCCCTCCCTCCCCCCTCCCTCCCTCCTTCCCTTCCTTCCTTCCTCCTTCCTTCCTTCCTTCCTTCCTTCCTTCCTTCCTTCCTTCCTTCCCTCCTTCCTTCCTTCCTTCCTTCCCTCCTTCCTTCCTTCCTTCCTTCCTCCTTCCTTCCTTCCTTCCTTCCTTCCTTCCTTCCTTCCTTCCTTCCTTCCTTCCTTCCTTCCTTCCTTCCTTCCTTCCTTCCTTCCTTCCTTCCTTCCTTCTCACACTGACAATGATGAGTGAGAGCAGCCATGGAGGTGAGCTGCCACTTAACATTTCAGATAAAGCAAAGGAAAGAGCAGCTTTTCTGTTCTTGGCAAAGGTCTTCACAAGGACCTGTGTGGATGGCACCCAGGAAAGTTGAAGCCTACATACACGTAGAGACTATTTTTTTGAGTTCACCTGAAGAACAAGCGAGGCCCCTATTTCCATCAGCACCCTGCTTACCCAGAACTGCAGGTTGCTGTACCAGCGTGTGCTTTGGCAGTAGTGGAGCTCTGTGAGTAGGCAGATCATACACTTGTATCATATTTGCTCCAAGAGCAAAATGTGGTATCCCAATAAGAGCAGAGGCCTGAGAAGCAACTTAACACCTCCAGTGATGTCTGCAAACACTGCTCTGTTAATACCACTCTTTATCACAGTCCTGCCCCTCAGAGCTGTGCTGGTAGAGGTGTCGGTCTGAAGCTTCCTTCTAGGTCCTTCCCTTGCAGACCTGTGTCAGAAACTCATAGTGCAGCTCCTCGTTGTTGTGGTTCAGTCTGGTGCTTTCACCGTGCTTCTCCCCTCTTCTCAACATCTGTTGAAACCTTTTTTTTTGATGCAGAGTTGAAGAAATCCTTGCCCTGCAGCTGAGCTGCTCTGTGGCTATGCCCTGCTGAGCTGAGGGATATCCTAACACTCAGTGCCACCGAGGAACCACCTGGAAGGCTCTGGAGAAACTTCTCATTCATATTCTGTCCTTACCAGGCTTTTAGCCCAAGTGAAGACCCTAGCTGACTCCAGGCAGGTCTTTAGGTAAGGCCAGCAGCCCGGAGCAGAGGGAGGCTTTAGGAAGCGGAGGTGACAGGTATAAGTGACAGCTCTTCAAAAATCCTGCGCTGAAAGCCTCCCCACTGACTGCGTCAGGCTTCCCTGACATTCACTGCTGTGCAGACCCAAGCACAGAGGAAGTCCTAAGGACTCTCTAAATCCCTTCTAAGCCTTCAAAGGAGACTCTGTTCCCAGTGCCCCAGGGTTTCATATTCTTAAATGTCACAGATGTGCATCCTTTTAGAAAGGATAAGAAAGCATGTGTGGAGTGCACCAGTTTCAAGCTTTCCTAACATTAAACCTAGTGAAAGATTTTATTTTATTTTATTTTATTTTATTTTATTTTATTTTATTTTATTTTATTTTATTTTATTTTATTTTACTTTATTTTATATTTTGTTTTCTTTCATGTGTCTTAGAATTACTTATGCTTGAGATTTCTGGTATCTGAAAAGTTTTTTGAGAATATTGTGTTCTTCACATTTTAATTACCTCAAAATAGCCAAACTGAACTGCTTCATAAAGGAGAAAATTACACAACCTTTGAGGGAGTAGAGTGGAACATTTCAGACTGAAGGATTTTGTTTGAGCAAATTAGGTGCAGTGAAAGGCAGAGGTGCTGAGACATGTACATCAATCCTTCCCAGCCTAGTTCTGAGAGCCATTTTTAGCAGTTAGGTCTTGCTGAGTTTTGTCTGAGAGAGGGCAACTTTTTAAAGCTACTTTGGCACTTAATATGTAAAAGATACCACTGGGACTTTCAAATACACCTGAGAAATTGCTGAAGTTCAGGACTCCTCTCCCCTCTAGCACTTAGCCCATTAGGGTCTAACCCAGCCAAGACGTTCCTTCAGCTGTAGGGGCCACAATGTTTTTGAGAAGGTGATAGGGAGGCCCCCAGCTTTGTCCTGGAGAGCTCCAGGCTGTCACAAAACCAACAGCACAGTCATTCTGGACTGCAGCCCTGGCTGGAGTCAGGGGAAGTATTAAACCTGCCAGGGGACCGGCACCACCCGTGTGGGCTGTTTTCCCCCGTGCCAGAAGACTTGCAGCAGGGACACGTCACGGCGCAGCAGGAGGCAGAGCACGGTGAGCGGCCCTTCTTGCTTCCTTCTTCCCTTTAGGTCACACAGTTATGTTAACAAAGAGGTACAGCTCTCGCACCAAACCCCAACTCCTCCCTCCTGTGTAAGCAGTCCCCCGGCAGCACCACGCTGTGTTGGGCGCCCAGTCCGGTGGGGTAGAGATGGGGGGCTGCTTTGACCCCGTGTGCATGGATGGCTGCTCTTAGGGCGCTGTTTAAGCTGAAAAACTCAAGGGCACATAGTTGTCTCCATGAAGGGCAAGCACAGCTTTGCTGTGTGCCAAAACACTGCTGCATTCAGGGAGAGATAGCTGTAGTATTTGTGTGAGAATGGCATGCCTAACATCCAGCAGCGCAAGACTGCGTGTCTTTGGCTGAAATCTACAGCACGTAACACGTGACACAGACCAGTCTTTCACTTCTTGACAAATCCTCGTGATGAGAAATCACAAATAGCTCACAAGAACTGCTTCAGACATTGCAGAGAAAGCAGGTTTAAGGGCAGGGCTGTGTTGCCCCCAGGTGTGCTGTAGCTGCAGCTGTAGCTGCAGGTGACAGGGTGACCTGCTCCATCAGGCCTGTGATGTCCAGCACCACCGCACAGCTGGCTGTTCTTTTACACAGCCAGTCCGTACAACACAGCTGAGATACACATTTAACCGAAGCTGGATGACTATTGCAGCCATCCATATGCACTTGCAAGTTATGATGGCCAAACAGAGTAAGTCTTTGGAAATTAACTGCTTGAATTTGAGCATATCCTTAAGTGATATTGAAACCAGTATGGGGTAAACCCATAAGCTGCATTTTTTTTTCCTCTTCTTTGAGGATTTTAAAAAGCCATTGTATGCAAATACCTTACAACTTCAATTCTGCGTGTCTTCCTCGGTCCTTAGGAGCTCTCTCCAGCATAGCCATTCGATGGCTGTAGGATGTGGCTTTTGAAACCTAGAGACAATAAGGTATGTGCATAACACTCCCTTATCCATGCAATTTTATTACTGTGTTCATAGCGAAGAATGTGTTGTCAGGTGGTGTCATTCACGTCAGAATCAACACCAGTTTTATAACTGTACACACTTTTATAAGCATAGAAGAGTTTGTACCTAAGTCCAAGATTCTCAGTTATTGAAGGAGGTCTGTTGAATAAAAGTCCCAGATGAATAACACTCTCAGAGGACCCAAAACAAAGAACTGTTCCCACACTTCCACAGGAGATGCCATACTCCCCCTGCCACCCCATTCTGCACCAAAGTCCTGATAGACACTTTTCATTGCAGATGGAAAATAATTCACTCCTGAACCCAAACTTAGCTTGGTGATTAATCTTGAGTATGTGAGCAGGATATACGAGGTTTTTGTCAGAGAGAAAGGAATGTTACTTCAGGACAGGAGGCACTTCATTCCCTTCCACCTCCTAAATCCATGGGCAATAGAAACTTCATTTTATTTATCTCTTTATTTACCTGGTCTCCAGGAACCTCCACTTTATGTGTTCCAAAGATGTCAACAGAAAATGACTCACTTTTCCTTTTCAGCAGAGACCCAGCTGGCCTGTACCAAATGTTTGTTGTCATTCCATTGGTACATTAACCAAGGTGTGTTGTGTTTGTCCTTTAATCTTTGTCTCTTCCATCGGGTTTTTCAGAAGGGGTCTGAAGAATAATACACTCTCTAACAGAGATCAGGAGGGGTCTTCTTTCTAGAAATGAAGCAAATAAAAAAATGCATGGTGTCAAAATCTTCCATTGCCTATTTGGAGAATAGAAAAATAAAATATTGAAGTACCTGGGATTCTCTTTGCATCCCCATGCTTTCTTTGAGTTCATGCTTTCTTTTGAGTTCTTTTGAATCCAGTTTCTCTTTGGGAGGAGGAACACAACTACATTTCCTAAGACTGTAAAGACCCTATGATCTAAGAAGATTGTCAGAGAAAACCAGTTCAGTATCCTGAAAGTCTTCATACCTGCAGGTGCAAGAACAAGGGAGTCCTTCAGTGATTCCCTAATGGATTAAATTCAGGGACAATTATGAACAACTTACCATGGCCTTCCCATGGCTGGGAAAGATGGGTGATGGACCTCTGAGAAATGCTGTGTAATGGGATAAGGTGGGGACTTTCCTGTGAATATGAAGATCACAGGACAGTTTATGGAGAAGAAGACCAGCTAGCAAGGGGAGTTGGGAAAAAGTTCACTTAAAATGAGTCTTTCATGTTTGGGAAGTTTGTGCTGGGTTTGGCCAGGGATCATCACCAAGAAGCACACTGTTTTCACAGAATCCCAGAATGGTTGGGGTTGGAAGGGACCTCTGGAGATCACCTAGTCCAACCCACCGCTCAAGCAAGGTCACCTAGAGCACGTCACACAAGATGGCATCCAGGTGGGTTTTGAATATTGCCAGAGGAAGACTCCACAGAGTCTCTGGGCAACCTGTTTCATTGCTCTGTCACCCTGACAGTAAAGACTCAGTGTTAACAGGCAGTGCTAACAACCTATGTGCCAGTCTCATGATACCTAGTGTTTCTCACAAAGGTCTTTTGCCTGTGACCGTGTCGGAGTTTTGACTTTCAACAAGCAGCAAAATGCATTTGTAGCTGTTGGGTATACGAACGTGTTATCTGAAGGTAAGAGGAAAGGTGTAACCTAAAAGGACTCAAAATAATTATGAAAAAATAAAATAAAATTAAATTAATCTGGCTGTGGCTGGCATTTCTGTGATTCCATTCTCCTCATGTCTCTGGGTGAGTAATCCTAATTTCCTGCCCACGTGCTGCCAAATGAAGCAAGTGTTAACCTTCAAGATAAAATAAGAACCCACATACTGGACCTTTGGACCTCTGAGAGATAATTCCGATATGGAAGGAACATCATGCAGTCCAGGGGAACAACAGCCCTATTCACTGGCAAAATGGTGAGGCTCAGTGCTGAGTGTGCTAAGAGGCACAGCTCACCGTAGGCTAGTCAATGCCTCTTGACAGTGGACTGACTCGAGCATTTTTATAGCACTGCTCCTTTAATCTGCCGGTCCAAGATTTTGTTCCAGCTTCAGCAGCAAGCACTGCACAACAGAAAAGCTGCAGCAGTAATACTTACTGGTGAATACAGGGCTCGGAGGACACTTCTCTTTGACTGTGGAACAATGGAGCTGGTGAGAGCTGTGAGGCCGAGATTTTATTGTTTGCAGGACAGTTAGTGAGCAAAGCAGTGATGAGATTGTGGAGACATGTCGTGACCTCAGCTCCCCTGAGCAACCTTCACTGCCAAACAGGAGCTGGCTATAGAAGATGAGATGCAGCTGCAGCATTTTTCATGGGAGAGCCCACAGCTGTATGGAGTTTTTGGGCAGAAGGTGCCACTAAGCATCAGGTTGTCCTTGCTCCAGGGAGAACATTCTCATTGACAGTGTGTAGCATGCTGGTACGTCTGTTCCAGGGCCTGCCCTGAGGCACTGAGGACACACTTTACCTGTCACATATATCTATCTGTTGGGACGCTGCTGACTACAGCTTGCAAGACCCAAATCTAGGAGCTGGAACTGCATTTTTTTTCTTGTATAAGTTCATCCAAAGGGGAAAAGAGGATCGACCACCACGTTGCTGCTTATGCGACTGTTAAAACTGGGTGCTATCCTAAACTACCCTGTCAGGGACGGGTCATTCTGGGCACCTGAGTATTGAGGATAGGACATATAATTGAACTGCCCAGCCCCTCCTGGGCTCTGAAGAGCCTCTGGCTGGTAGCATTTGGCAGGGTTTAACTTTGCAAAAGCATCTTCCTGGGTATTTATCTTTGAGGGTAAGGTAGTGCATTCAATTAAAGTCAGTCAACACAGACAGACTCCTTGGAACCTGCGGCCACCTGAGGAGGCTCACGAAAGGTCTTGATGCTGTTTCTCTGCCCCAGCCTTCACTGTTTCATTAAATGCAGGAAATGACACATTCTAAAAATGCATCTTTTTGTGGGAGATTTTTTATCCTAAAAGCTCTGATTTTTTTTTGCACCTTCTCTTCTATCAAAGCAGAAAAGAAAACTAAACAGAAAACTGCTTTTGAAACTTCTGGAGACATTTGCTTGCATAGAATTGAGCATCTGCTAAAAACTCTGAGACATCAAGGCAATTAACGGTCTTCTCCTCCATTAAATTTGTTTTACATGACGTTTTTCAGATGTTTACTTACATCAATCTTTTCTGCATTGATTATCCCCACTTGTAAATGTAAAGCTACATTTTCCACTCTAGGTTTTATTGATACGGTATTTCTGAAGGTGACAATGGTGTCCTATGATGCAAGACACAGACAGCAAATTCACATCACAGCTCCTACCTCAGACAGCAAACAGACCTGATACCAGAGCTCCCATCATGTGGATAGGCCAGATGGTGAGAGCAGGAGAATGAAATAACATATGGACCTTGGCAGGAAAGGTCTTAGCTCCTCCACAGGAGTCAATGAGGACAATGTTTAGTTGTCTAGAAATAGTGTAAAAAGGTCCCCAAATGCGGCATTTTGTATAGTCTGTTTCCACCTCTAGGCAAGGTGCTACACTACTGCTCTGTTTACCAGGTCCTGGACCATTTAATAAATAGTCCTGATTGCTACTGTCAGTGAGGGCAATCTTTCCGCTTCTCTAACCACCAGTTCTGAGTAGTCAATTATTGAACTCTGTGAGTTAAAAATAAACACAATGCAGTAGCTCCGAGGACACCTTCTGTTTTACGCAAGGTAACTAAATGGTGTTTCTTAGTTGGTGTCAGTCACGCAGGCAAATTTTCAATGCAAGCCAGTTCTAACTGGGCTTTAAAGGTCATTATTTCTGTGCAAATGTTTGTTTAATAGTGTACGTGTAATTTCCGGTTCTGAACCTGTCTCTTTGGCTCCTTCTCAGCTTTTTCTTGGCTGCACAGAGAGGTGAGACGGCGTTTAGGCCTCTGCAAGACAGGCACCAGAATTTCAGGTGTCAGGTGCCTGTGCCAGCCCGCGAACCACAGTCCCTCCTCTTGTCCCGTGCTGGCTCTGGGGTGGTGGGCAGGAGTCTGACAGCTCCTTGCCCAAGCTGGGGAGCAGAGCAGAGGTAAGGACCATGTGCAGCAGCAGGCTGCCTGTGCCCAGGAAACACCCAGGTTGGCATGTCCCAGGCACAGACAGAAGTATTGCTTGCTGCCTGTTGGTTGGATCACACCTTAGTGGGGTATTCAGAGCTGGCTGAGGCTGGCTCTTCAGTCCCATTTTATCTCCAGGACCTGTTTTTTTCCCTCTTCATCTGTTTAATTTAATCCTGTGTACCTGCTTTGCCATTTGACGAGTGTTTATTTTATTGGGACTGTCTTCATTTTACACTTGGATCCCCACTATGCCTTTCAGTTCTTTAGTATTTCTATAATATTTCTGTCTGGAGACCTAATTCCGGAGCAAATAGTTTATTTTTAGCTTGTATACTTGTATAGGACCAACCACAGTGGACAAGAGATTGGTGAACATTACTAGAAATGGATTATTTCACAATGAAATTCATAGAATCACAGAATCATTACGGTTGGAAAAGACCCCTGAGATTACCTGGTCCAACCATCCCTCTACCACCAATGTCACCCACTAAACCATGTCCCTAAGCACCACGTCCAGCCTTTCCTTGAACACCCCCAGGGACAGTGACTCCACCACCTCCCTGGGCAACCCGTCCCCATGCCTGACTGCTCTTTCTGAGCAGAAATGTCTCCTCACTGCCAAACTGAACCTCCCCTGGCACAACTTGGGGCCATTCCCTCCGGTCCCATCACCAGTTACCTGTGAGAAGAGGCCAACCCCCAGCTCCCCACACCTTCCTTTCAGGCAGGTGCAGAGAGCAATGAGGTCTGCCCTGAGCCTCCTCTTCTCCAGACTAAACACCCCCTGCTCCCTCAGCCGCTCCTCACAGGACTTGTGCTCCAGGTCCGTCACCAACTTCACAGCCCTGCTCTGGCCATGCTCCAGGGCCTCAATGTCCTTGTAGTGAGGAGCCCAAAGCTGAACTCAGTGTACTCAAGGTGCAGCCTCACCAGAGCAGAGCACAGGGGGACGATCACCTCCCTGCTCCTGCTGGCCGCACTGTTCCTGACACAAGCCAGCATGCTGTTGGCCTTCTTGGCCACCTGGGCACACTGCCAGCTCATGTTGAGGCAAGCACTGACCAACACCCCCAGACCCTTTTCCTCTGCACAGCTTTCCAGCCACTCTGCCCTGAGCCTATAGTGCTGCATGGGGTTGTTGTGGCCCAAGTGCAGGACCAGTGCAGCCCATAGCCATGTTGAACCTCATCCCACTGGCCTCTGCCCATCCACCCATCCAGTCCAGGGCCCTCTGACGGGCCTTCCTACCCTCTGGCAGACTGACACTTCCCCCACCTTGCTGTCATCTGCAGACTTACTGAGGGTGCACTCAGGTCCCTCATCCAAATCGTCAATAAAGATATTAAACACAAATACAACAAGAAGCAACAGGGACTTTCATTTTAATACTATGGCCAAGCTGAAATTTATTTTCATTTGAGGTGGCTGAAAGCTTACCAAGTAAAAATTTCCATCTTGTTGACCACCTAGAGCTCCTAAGAGTTTTGTTTTGGGACAAAAAGTTTCATTTATCTCATTTTTGTTTAAGATTCAGCTGAACTAAAGTAATGAACACTTGATTCAGAATGAAAATGTAAACATTTTTGATGCAGTGAATATCTGACATTATGGAGGAAAACAAAACATTTGTTTCTTGCTGACTAGATTTGCATTTCAGTAAATGATTATTTTCAGTGAAATCTTTCCCTTTTTCAGAAAATACAAGTTCAGTTGAATTTTCTTGTTCCACTTTGCATTTCAGTAGGGGCTTAAGAAAACAATTACCAGCTCATTCTGGGAACAGCTGCTAACACCCCGCCTGGCACAGCAAATTTGGCTTCTTCAGCTATATTTTATTTTCTGCAAATTCAAGGAGGGTGATGTCATATAAAAAGCTCCCTCTCAACAATGAAAAGATCTATGTATGTGTAACAAACCAACCCAAACCTATGTCGTTGTCTTGTAGGATTCGCAGTCCTCAGGAGATGAAGCCACAGCCCGAGGCAGGAAGGCCAGAGAAAATTTCAATGTCTGAGGCTGTTCGCAAAAATGATAGAGGCTTTTAAGTTACAGCCAGGGTACCGCATGGGTCTTTTTTTCCTCTTGCTTTTGTCATAATCCTGCATAAACACTCTCTGTGCTTTCATATCTAGCAACCAGGAACTGTTGATGAGATACAGATGTGTGAACTGGCTGCCCATGGAAGTGGTGGAGTCACCATCCCTGGAAGTCTTTAAAAGATGTTTAGATGTAGAGCTTAGGGATATGGTTTAGTGGAGGACTGTTAGTGTTAGGTCAGAGGTTGGACTCAATGATCTTGAGGTCTCTTCCAACCTAGAAATTCTGTGATTCTGTGATTCTGTGAAGCCAACTGTTGTCCCGCAAGTGCTGGCAATGTAGAACATTGTTGTGTCTGTAACACCAGAATGCTGTTCTGATTATGTCCAAGACTAGCAGAAAGCCTGTCTTGCAGTTCTTTACCTTTGGATGAGACATGGAATAAGTCAGCTCATGAATTTAAGTTTAGTTTATACCTCCTTAGTGTTAGGATCTGTATGTTTGTCAGACACTCCAACATTAACTACTGATAATTAACCCAAAGACTGTGACACAAAACATTGTACTGCAGAACGCTTGTGCTTGCATTGTAGTCTGCCATTCAAAGAGGAACTGGAGAAGAAATATTCATGAGCTCTGAGAACTGCATTCTGAACTGTGTATCATTCTCATACTCTGTTCAAAGAGTACCACTAAATTCAGCTTAGAAGCCATTACCTGTATACTGTGAGTTGGTTTACAAAGTTTCCTCCTACTAAGAAGAAATAGGTCAAAACTGGGTACCTCTGAACCTCAAGCATTCAGTTACTTTGCAACATATTTTGATTTTTCTGCTGTGAAAAGTACTTTCAATCCTCTGCATTCAAAAAATACTGGTACTTACTTAAAAATGACAGATCAATGTATTTTTCCTTCAGCTTCCTTTCTTTGAGTTTTTGAATCTTTTGCTTGCCCTCCTTTTTTTTTTTTTTCCTTCAAGATTTCTCTGCAAATGTGATGGTTAGAACCTTAATTTTTGGTTAATAGGGAGCAAGTCAGATGATGTGACTTGAGGAGCTGGGACATTTGGAAAAAATGGATCCAGTGTATTTAGTAGAATCTTCTTCCCTCTTCAAACAGTACCACAGTAAGTATTTGAGGGTCCATATCAGGCTCCTGGAATGGTGTGAATTGTCTGTTCAGTGGACAATGTGTCTCAGACCATGGCTGTTTAAACCACAAAGCAATTGCCTCTGCACAAAGCATTCCTTATTTTTATACAGAGAGCAGAAACTCCTTTTTGAGTGCGGTAACAAACAAACAAACCCTGCCACTTTCCCAGGGTTAACTGAATGGAAAGCTGGGGTGACCCTGCCCCAGCAGGGTCTCATTTTGCAGGAGAAGTGGAACACAGCGTCAGCTTTCCCCTGTACTTTCTCACATCAGCAGAGACAGGAACTACATGTATTACTGTAAGGTGACCCTTGTTCCTGTAATGGCACTGTGACCACCCCCTGGGCACTCTTCAGCCCAGGGCAGAGCAGGCTGAGGGGAGGCCTCATGGCGCCCTGCAGCTCCCTCACGAGGGGAGCGGAGGGGCAGGCGCTGAGCTCTGCTCGCTGGGGACAGCGACAGGACCCGAGGGAACGGCATGGAGCTGGGACAGGGGAGGGTCAGGCTGGGGGTTAGGGAAAGGGTCTGCACACAGAGGGTGGTCATGGCACTGGGATAGGCTCCGCAGGGCAGTGGTCACAGCATTGAGCCTGCTGGAGTTAAGCAGTATTTTGGACAACACTCTCAGACACATGGTTTGATTTTTGGGTGATCCTGTGTGGAGGAGCCAGGAGTTGGACTCGATGCTCCTTGTGGGTTCCCTCCAACTTGGGATATTCTTTGATCCTATGATTCTCTGCAGATGGTGCCGTAGCCTGGGGAAGGCTGGCAGAAGCTAGAGGGTGTCAAAAGAAGGACTGGACTCTGAAATTTTGCTCCTGTCCTCTATCCCCTCTCTGTTGTTCACTGGCAACGCAATTCTTTTCTCAGTCTAGAAGGGAAGGGGAAGGGCTTTTCTCAGCAAGTTAAGTGAGATTCACTCCAAAATATTCCCCAGTGGGGTGATAAAAAATTAGATCTCTGTTGTAGGTTAAGACCAACACTATGATTGTCACACACCTGGAATGTGGATGGGAGAACCTCTACTGCCAGAGTGGAACCTCTCTGCTGGAGCCTGTGGGCTGTCTCTCAGACAGCTATATTTGGGAGGGAAGAAGACTTGCAAAGGTCTCCCTAACAAGCAACAAACTCCAGCTGAATAACTGCCCTTCTATCCCTTTCTTTCTGCAGTCAGGCAATAGGAAATGGAGGATGTCTGGGAACAGCTTTCCCTCCTGTAAAGGCAAACTTATCCGGCAAAATCAATTCAGGCAGTGTGACAGGGGACAAAGAAACCTTATTGTCACAGCAGGTTGTGATTGCATCCAGACTACCAGAACACTTTGGTATTGGCTTCTGCAGTAAGAAAAACAGTAAAGGCTTTGAATTTGCAAGGGAGTAAATAGTGACCCAAGAAGTTTGTCTTGAAAATGAACTGAGACATGTTTTGTTGTTTCACTAAAACATATTAGCGAGTGAGCTGGAATTTCTCCAGGAACCTACCAATCCATCCAAGTCCAGTGAAGCATTGACGAGGTTGTGCAAACATGTCCTGTGGTACAGTACATTTCTCTGAAAGCCTCCAACAGAAGTCTGTCATTGCTGTACTAAATGCTATGAATACACCCAGCTAGCCTTTTCATCAAATGCTTGCCTTTGAAAGAGAAAAAAAACGGGGAATGGCAGGAGGGATGTAAAGCCATAGAGAGAGTAAAATGTTTGCCTCAAAAGTTAGTGACTATGCCAGGAGCATGGCCTGCATTTCTAGACTTCAGTCATCAGCCATTCTGTTGAACTACACTTCCCTCATGGTTTTGTGTTAAGGTTGTGTCTGAAGCCACTAGAATCATACCCGCTCTTATGAAACACTTCTGTTGCTGAATTAAAGCAGTATGTTTGGTTTCTGTCAGGCTTAGGTCTCTAGAGGGAGAGCTAAATGTCACTGTGCATTGACTAGTCAGGAAGAGAAATAACTTTGCTTTTGGCTTTTTTTTTTTTTCTTTTCTTCTCTCTCTCTCTTTTTTTTTTTTTCAATGATAGGTCACTGAGAGCTCAATAGAACATTTCTGTCAGAGTAATACCTTCCGGGAAATAAAGTTTTGAAGGAGTGATCCATGAAATTGCTACAGTTTCAACAATATTTAATTTAAGGAAAAATCCAGATAAAAAAATGAGCCTAAAAACTGTGATCTCTCATGTGAATTAGTTTTATTTGACGACGTCTATTTGAAGAAAATAGAAAATGGAGATCGGTGTTGTAGAAAGGTGCTTAGAATCTACAGAAACTAAAAATGTTTAGGTTCCAAAACGATGTTTTCTATCTCAATTTGGGATGAAAAACTCTTCATATACAATGCCAAGTGTTTACCATAGCTTTTCTCCCCATTGTAGGAGGTCTGAGTCACTACAGCAGGTACCCTGAAAATCCATTTTGCTTCCTAGGAATGGACAGCCAGTAGACCATTTCATGTAGAGCATCACTTCAAGAACAGAAACAGCATGTTTACAATAGATGTTACAAGTTTGCAAGAAATATTTATTGCAGATTTGTGTTTTGAGACCTGAAAGGCTGAAGTCCCTCATTCAACGATGGAAACCCTCAATCAAGGCTTCCTTCTCCTTTTCTCCCAGCATTCTGCGCTTTGTCCAAGTAGCATTGAATCACAGAATATTTCCCTCCTTGCCAAAATCCATTGCCAATATGGTGCAATAGCACATAGCAAGAATTTTTCAAGTAACTAGTCAAGCAGAAAATGAGACTTTCATTGGTTATCCTGCTCCATTGAAACCAGACAGGCTAGACAGTGAAGGTGATGGTGCAGGTATGTTGGGTCTGTTGTGCCACTACAACCAGGGTGGTATTTTGCAAGTGACAACAGCACTGTGTGATGGTCATCTCCTAGGGTGCTCCTGGGACCGTGAGTCCTGGGATGCGTATCTCAGCCATGAACATAGCAGAGTTATTTTCTGGTGTTTGGCACCTGTGCTTTGAAGCTAGAGGTCACAGGTGTCTTCAGGTGATTACAAGAGTCTAATGGTGGAGGGTTAAATGAAACACAGCAGAGATAACATCAGAACATGCGGAGGAGACCTCCTGCTGTGCAAGGGGAATGGCTGGTAAACTGCTTTTAGTGATCTCTGGTGCCCAGCAGTGAATTGACACAGCTAACTCACACCTTCTCGTGTTTATTTTCAAGGAAAAGCATCATATTTCTCTTATGTCTTATCAAAATAGAATTCCCAAGGACGAATGGTTAGTCATCTGGAGCAGGGCCAGGAAAAAAAGCTAACTTTTGTAGGCAGGACTTCAGGGTTTATCCAGAAAGACCTGTATGAAAAGCACACAGGGCTGATTTCACTTATTGATGAACAGGGATGGCTACTACTGCCCACGTGGCAGCACAAATGTTTTTCCACACACTCAGGCCAATGGAGGAGTGTTTTTGTAGGGGGTGAGGCTGCGGAACAGGATCTAACCTCAGTTAGGTGAGTATGGGGAAACTGCACAGGTTCCTGAATGCTACTTTGATTTTCCGATGGTGGGGTGTGCTACAGAGGGAGTGGAGTTTATTGGGTCCACATTGCTATCATAGGGGTGTGAGCAAATCCCTTCTGTGGGGGCTGAAAACAGCTGTGTTCAGTGCAAAAGACTCCAAAAGTTGTGGGGATTCATCAATTTGTTGTGCCCTTATCTGAGAAATGCTATGCTGATGAGGAGACACAGGCAGCAAACCTCTGTGCTGTAAGCTAGTGGAAGAGAGATATTTTCAGAGATTTCTCAGCTCCCTTCTTTAAGGATATTGTTTAAAAGTCCATTAATTGTACTGAAAATAATTTAAAATGTGTAGTACTAATGAAATTAAAGAGTTTAGCTGAATGCAATTCTGCTTTTGACCTTTTCAGTTTGCTGCTGGGAGTCAAGACAGTTCTTGGTCTTGATAAAGCTGAAGCCTTTTATTTGTTTTGGCAAAAATGATTTCCTGCCTAGCTGGCAAACATACCATTCCTCCCACCTCAGGTTTTCAAAACTCCATGACGGTGCTCAAAAATGGTACTCAACCCACACATTTCTGAACCCTCAGAAACTTGTTTTCCATTACCAGTGTGAGAAAGCTTATTTATTTTTATTTTATTTTATTTTATTTTATTTTATTTTATTTTATTTTATTTTATTTTATTTTATTTTATTATTTTATTTTATTTTATTTTATTTTATTTTATTTTATTTTATTTTATTTTATTTTATTTTATTTTATTTTATTTTATTTTATTGTTTGAAAAAAAGAAGAATTGTTCACCAGAATGGGATTTTCTTAAAAATTCACAAGATTTGTAATACCAGTTGCAGAGAGCTGAAGGTTGCTTTGTTAGGGGACCAAGCAGAACTTGAGTATGCTTCCCATAGTCCAACAAACTGGTCTCCCTACTTGCACTGGAAGGCTTTTCCAGAACATTTTCCGCACCAGGAGGAGGAACGAAAAACAAGAGTCAGTGTGTGGCTGCCAAATGGAGCCCTCCCTCTGTACATGGAGCCAGGGGATGGCGCCTTTAGCTTGCTGTGAGGAGCTGGCAAGCTGTCCTCCTTGCTGCAGACAGGAGGAGCAGGAAGTTTCAGCTTACACTGGGCTTGAGGAAGAGCAAAGCAACAGTACAGCAAGCCAAAGTGGAAGCAGAGACCAGACAGCTTAGCCTGGTGGAGAGTCCCCTCCTTCCCTAGGCTGCTGGCTGTGGAGAAGGAGGTGGAGGGAGAGGAAAGCAAGGACACTAGGCCTTACCTTGTAAGATTGGCAGAGCCTGCCCTCTCAGAGGCACAGGGAGAAACCATCAGGTGTGTGAGAGTGAGGCACAAGATTTTGGTAGCTCACCACTCATCCTGCAGAGTCCCTTGGCCCATGCTTCATGCAAAGCACGTCATGGCTAGGCCGGGCTGGGCCTCAGGAAAGTTGTGGTCACCACCCTCGTCTGATTGCCTCACGCTCCCTGATGCTGTCAGAAAGCTGGAACAGAAGGGGCACCCACCCAGACGGGGTCACATTCCCACCCATAGCACAAACAGCAACTTCTGGGAAAGGCAGAGCTGGGCACAGAGTCCTAGTTTGAGGGTAAGCCAAGAAGAAGTGGAGAAATTAGGGTTCAAGTGATGACTGTGGGGTGTGGAGGCTAACACAAATATCTTACCTCCTCTTGTGCTCTAGGATAGGTATATGTTATGCCTCCTTTGGAAATGAGATCACAGATTTACCATCTTTCCCATTTACTTTATTTTCTTACTGCAACTATTTTGCAAGGCCTTAGATTTTGGCTAGTCACTCTGGTCATAGGAAGCAGACACCCCGAGGCTGTACATAAATGAAAATTAGGAGGCGCCGAGCTGCCCCAAACTACTGAAACTGAATCTGTGCAGGCTCCTGCTGAGTGACAGTCGGGCTGTGTGTTCCACCACAAATTTCAGTCCTACATTTTGTGTTCTTCTCTCTCCTTATGCTCTGTTATTTAGTTCAATAATGATCTCTGATGCCAGGATTTCCCTTAGCCTAAGTCCTCTGTAAAATGCTTTACAGCTGTGGAACTGAACTGTTGTCAGGAAAAGAGCTTCTATTCTACATGCCAGCGCCAGCCACCTTGGATTTCTTGCATTACTGCACATAAATAGCACACTTTGGTCTTCAAAGGGCTGATACACCACCAGCTGGGTGAATTCTTCCCTCCCTCACTAACTAAGGTTTACTTTGGCACAGCTAAAGAATTTGATTGCAGGATGGCAGTCCTGCATCCTCTTGCACCTAATTCATCAGAGTGCTGTTCTCTCACTTGAGACATGTGCTAGGGACTGTGGCAACCCTTTGTCAATAACATGTCAGGGTGCTGGGCACCCATGGTACCATGTTTTGTGGAACAGGGCAGCCAGGCCTGAGTAGGGGAGGTGTTGCAGATGAAGAACATAGTGGAGTAGGGTGGAAGATTATAGGTGAGGAATGGGGAAGTGATGATACCAGGAAGTGCCTTGTGAAGACCTCAGTAGTCACTTGGGATGGCAGGACCATGGGATGCAGGTTGGACTGTTTGGTCCATGGCTTGGCTGGCAGGTACAGAGAGCTGGGCCTGAGGGGGCCCAGGCCGCTTCCCGCTGATGAAGAGGCCACCCTGAGCAATAGCATAGCTGCAGTGTGCATGGGTGAGACATTGCACAGTCTGTCCTGTCACGGGACGTGCAAACACACACACCATACCGGGTAATTCTCACAGGAAGGCCACAGTCCTATTAATGTGTGTTTCTCCAGGTTTGCCCTTCTTTCCATAGAAGAGAGCCTGCTCGTCTGCTGGTGGCTCACTTGAAACACCCACTCAGCAAACTAAGCTGAACATTTAACCCACCTTAAACTCCAGTGATCTCCCCTTACGCCATTCCTGCCTTGTAATTATTACCTGTTCTTCCAAATACCTTACTCCTTTCCCCCTCACTTTCACCCCCTCCAACTGTCCCAGTTCTTTAAAAAAAAAAAAAAGAGACATCTTCCCTGAGCAGGTGCAGGAGTGCCCAAGCAACCCCAACCCGGTTCCTTTTGTATCTGTCATTAACAGCGTAGCTACATTTCCAGGCTGAAATTACCAACTCTCATTATCATGCCTGGCAATTACATCTTATGGTGTAACAGTGACACCCAGTGGCCAATAAACGCAGAAAGTCACTTTCCCCTGAAAGTCTTGATCTAGGCTTTCTTTGAATTTCAGGGTCCTGGGACTCCTGAGTGCTAGTCTTAACATTTAAGACTGAAGCAAAGAAGGCATCGAGTACCTTGTCCTTTTCTGTGACCATTGTCATCATCGTTCATATTCACTTCTTCCTAGCCTTCCGTTTGCTGTTTATGTGCCTGAAGAATCTCTTCTCATTGCTCTTCATGTCCTTTGTCAAGTTTATCTCCAGATAGTCTTTGGCTTTTGTAATCCTATTCCTGTATGATCAGACAGCATCTCTATATACCTCCTAAGCCACAGCTCTTCCTGTTCGTAGGTGTCCTCACAGAGAAGCTTTCTCCACACTTAGAAAAAACCCAAAACTCAACACTGATGAAATTGGTGGTGTGCTGAGACTGCAGCTGTTGACACTGACTACCTAAAAATGCTTCCCCCAGGCCTCTTCCTATCTCATGCTTGAATGCTACGCTTTAGAGAACTGGGATGAGTATTTTTTTCTGCTTTTGTATCACATCTACCACAACAAGGTCAAGGAGGAGTTGTCACAGTAGTATAATACTAAAATAAGTAGTATGAGGTACACAAGTAACACTAAGTATTTTTTTCTCTTACTGATGTAGAGAAATGATATGCAGACTTGCTCCTTTGTTCATGTCTTCACTTAAGTCATAAGGAAAACAGTATTTGTTTGTCTTTAGTTCTGCCACAGAACCACGGTGTCATCTTAAGAATCGTGAATAGCAGGCAGGTAAGCAGAAAGGGCTGACATTCTGGAGTATGCTTTTGGCAAAAGGTGTTCCTGGGAACAATTCTCTCCTATTCTTTAGGTAGGGATGGTCTGGTGGAATTCCAAAGGGTTTCCTGCTGTGCTGCAAGTCAGACACTTCCCTGCCAGAGAGGAAACTGCAGACTTTGAAAAAAGACTAGATCTTTTTTTTTTTTTTCCCCCCAGAACTGCTAGATGACAAACTCTGTAACCGCTTAAGAGGATCTCAAGGGTTTTGCTATTAAATAACCCAAAAGTATCCAAGGAAGACAACTTTCCAGATAGAAAAAGAAACTACTGTAATGTTTGCCAGAAAAGTTAGGAGAGAGTTGTCTTATCTGTAGCTGTACCTAGTTATGATGTGCCTAGGATATCCAGATTTTTTCTTTCATTATAGCAGCTGGATTCTTTTCCTCTGCAGGGAACATATCCCTACCCCATTAAAAAAGCCAGTGGGATCATTGCTACCCTGAGTGACATATGCTCCAATCCAGTGACTATAAATTATTCTGTAGCTCAGAACCCAATTCACCTCACTCAACTCCAGCAAAACTGTATTAACAGCAAGGCTGGAGGGAGCAATTCAAAATCCAGCTAATGAATGCTGCCGAGAAAGGTCACTGCTCATGAGAAGTTAATTTTAGCAAATAATTTTATTTAGGCCAACTCTAACAGCCCCATTTGTATTAGCCATTTTTATGAGGTATGGTCTCCCTAAGCATTATTTAATTTGGTTTGGTGCTCACTAAACTGCTGATGAAACTGGAGTTCAGCACTTGTTTCTGAAATGTATTTTAATGTCGTTTATAAAATTCAGCTCTGCTGAGGTGTAGCTGCACATTGGTGTTGTGTTGGTGCTGGCTGGCAATGATCCTGCCAGCAGGTTGGCTGAGGGGAGGCCTCATGGCGGCCTGCAGCTCCCTCACAGGGAGCGGAGGGGCAGGCGCTGAGCTCTGCTCTCTGGGGACAGCGACAGGACCCGAGGGGACGGCATGGAGCTGGGACAGGGGAGGGCCAGGCTGGGGGTTAGGGAAAGGTTCTGCACACAGAGGGTGGTTGGGCACTGGGACAGGATCCCCAGGGCAGTGGTCATGGCACCAAGCTGCCAGAGTTCAAGAAGTATTTGGACAGCACTCTCAGACATATGGTCTGATTTTTGTGTGGTCTGTCAGGGACCCAGAAGTTGGATGTGATGATCCTTGTGGGTCTATTCCAACTCAGATGTTCTGATTCTATGCTTTTATAATATCTGATGAGCATTTCTTGCGTTGTAACTTGTACACATTACCTTTTGTACTATCCCCATGCAACTCCATGAAGTCTGCCTCTGTCTTTTCTGTACCCCCTGATCTTTTAGTTGCTGACAGCCATGAAGCCACTTCACCTTCTCTTTTTAGGCTGAACAGATCCAGTTCCTTCAGCCTCTTAAAGAATTGTAGAATTTTCATTTTACTGCATGCCCACCTGAATGATTCCTGACTCTGCTTTTTTTCAACTTGCAAGTGCCCTTGCTTCTATTTCCTGTGCACCCTCACAGCACCAAGACACCAAAGATTAAGCATACAAATGCTATGAAGTGACTTTCTGCCCCCCCTTCTCACACTGAGAGCTCATGTAAGTTTTAGAATATAAATGCACCAAATTGTGGGCTTATACTCATTAGGTTTAAGTGGGACTATCACATGAGCTCATTTGATCTCTTGAGCAGAAAAGTCTGCCTGAACTGAATTTACCTCTGTGAACAGTTTCACCAAAGTCAAAGATACGATTTTTAGAATATAGTGTTAGCTTGAAAATGATAACCATTTCATTATGGGATTTGATGGAAGACAGTTATGAAGTATGATTTTTTCCTTGGATTTTTTCCTGGTATGTTCTGCAGCCTAAACGATTTCTCAGAAGTATCACAAAAATAGGTATTTTTGAAAAAGAAAAAGAAAAAGAAAAAAGTATGTCTGTTTTCTTGGAAGTTGAAGAAATAAGATTTCCAAGTCTAAAAAGCCCTCTCCATTACTGGGCTGCAGAATCTGGCTTAACTCTAATTTACTGTAAGCTGTTCAAGGCAGTTTGCAAACAGAGAAAAAGATAAAATTCATCATCTGTAATATTTACTCTGAATTATTTGCTGAGCTCCATAGAGGGAGCTGATATTCCTGCTAAAGCTCTCTAACCTCTGCCTGTTGGTTTTTCCTGCCAGACTTGTATCTTTCAGATATAAGTAAATAATGACTTACAGGGAAAAATTTATATTACAAAATACACCTCCCCCTGCCCACCCTTCTAGTTCATGAATTGTCTGTGAATGGATAATGAAATCTTATTTTATTTTTTATTTTTTTTTGGCAAGCCTTTTTTGAACTGTAGCTAACCCTGATTCACAGAATTCACAACCCTCTTTGATCAGTCCTGGAGGCCCCACTGGAATATTGAGTTACTTCCTTGGGTGACTGAAATTATGAACAGAGTTTATGAGAATTTCAAATGATATTATAATTTCTGAAAACTAAGAAGCACTAAAAATGGATCTTTATATATAAAAGTAAAGATTAAACTCCTTAAACAGTCTGAAGGCTGAAAAGAAATATCTGTGGAAAAAGAGGTTGGACTTTGATAGGTTTACACCAAGTTCATTGTAGGAGAATGAAGGACTGTAGGGAAATAAATAGAATAACATGTAAACTCTCAGGCATTTATAATAACACATGGACAAAATTTATATATGACATTACTTAATAAAAAATGAACACCAAAGTATTTGTCCCTGTCTCTCAGTCACTCTCAGAGTCTACCTCTGTCTCTCCCTCTATTTTCTCTGGCTCTCCTTCTCTCTATTTACTTTTTCTCTTTCTCCCTCTTCTTTCTCTTTCTACCCTTGTGTTTTTCTGTCTGCTCTGTCACCCTTTGTCCCTTCTCTCTCCTTCTTCTCCACTCTGTCTTCTTCTCCCTTCTCTCCTTCCTCTCTTTCCCATGTCTGTCTGTCTGCGTCAGTGTCTGTGTCTGTATCTGAGTGTGTCTGTCTGTCTCTGTCTCTCCAAATGACTGCCTAAATGTGGAGAACTTCTGCGCCCCAGAACTTCCTTGTTTTTCTTGTGCTGCTGGGTGGTCTTATTAAAAATACTTTTTCCTCCTTACAACCCCACCTGGCTAAGCATGTTGTAAGATGACCAGAGAATCATGGATATTTCAAGCCTACAGGGGATCAAGAAACAACCGTCTCAGTTGAACTCCCTTCATTAAACACATTATCCCCATCAAGAAAGGGATTCTCAGGAGTGAGACCCTGCAGCTGAATTAAATTGTCTGATGAAAATTGGCAAGGTCAAAATGGACTTTGGGAGGCAAAGTCTCCTTCTCCTAGTACAGAATATCCGGTAAAACTTGGAAGCAATCTACAGAAAACTGATGTAATTAACTTGTGGTAAGTGTAACTCATCTAGAGGAACCTGGCTGCATGGTCACATAAACTGAACAGTTATCAGAACTCATGAGATCCCAGGCAACTGGAAAAATGGCTTGTCAAAGCAGTTGCTGCATGATCCTTTGCTCCCATTTTCCATGTGAAGCCAGAGTGTGAAAAACCTGAATGTTGAACAGCTGGAATTCAGGCTGAGATCTGAATCCCTGTTTAGAGAACATTCTCTGTCTTTACAATGTCCTTGTTCAGGTATTTCCTTCATCACATAGCTTTGAACCAGGATTTTTCTGAAATTAGCACATGAATTTGTCAGAGTGGGTTGATTCCTTTTTTAAACCCATCTATTACTGAGACTTCTACTTTGTCCCTAATTATCGCTCTTGATAAGATGTCTACATATCAGAAATAGTTTCAAGTCGTTCCTCTCCTTCTCACACACACACGCCTTGCCAAGGGTAGCAGCACCTTTCCAAGTAGTATTTCCCAGGTATTTTCCAGTATATTCCCCAAAGAATATCCATCTTCTGCTTTCAGTTTTTTTTGGGCCCCACCCATTTGGATTTTATTCTCTTCGGCTCATTCTTGCTTTTAGTCTTTCTGTTTCAAAATCATTACTTCCTGACCTTGTCTTAATTCTCTTCTCGAGGATATTTCCAGCTGGGTTTAGTGGAAATTGGTCACAGGCCCATTTAGTCTGACCCAGATTTCTTTTCTGCCTTGGTGCTTCGGGTAATTAAAGGCTGTGTAGAAGGAGCCTACATGGCAGTTTTTCTTGATCAAGTGAAACATCACTATTAGATATCATGGTGCTGGACAGAAGGTCTTGCTATGCTGTGTAGGCAGTTGTCCCATATCGTATTTCCCAAATGGTCCCAAATGGGTAGTTCGAGTACTACACAACTCCTTCCCCTCCTGTTTCTGTAGTGATAGTCCTGTACATCTCTGACTGAGACCTTCCTGGCAACTCTCTGTCCCCAGTGCCTCTGACTTCTCCAGACACCACCCAGAGCAAAGTGACAGAACTGGCAAATCACTCCTCGAGCAATCAGCATCCTGACACCTCCTCATGATTCAGCTGTTGGTGAAATAGACAGGGCTCTGGGCTAGTACCCAAAACTGGCTGCCAGTGTGGAAACTGTAGGGTGATTTCATTTGCTTCTATCTGACTCTGCCACTGGTGTGAGACACTTGTTTATGTGAGGGCGATTCCCTAAATTTTCCCTTTGCAATGGGGTGGGCTAATCCTGCCTTCCTGTAAGGAGCCTGAAAAATCTTTCGAGATGCATGCATATTGACAAGTCAAGTGCCAAGGCAACCCGAGAGCGAATGCTTCACTTTGGGGGTATTTTGGGAAACTGCTGCTCCCACACATGCCAGCAACCTGTTGTATGTCCCTGAGCAGATCTCTTCCAGGAAAGGACAGGGGTACCAAAGATGACTTCTGCAACAGAATAACATCCCCGTGCAGGACTGAGCCCTTCTCTCCTTTCACCTCTGCCCAGGTGACCCAGCTCTGGGTGGAAGAGCAAGACAGGGTGATGAGGCTCTCCTTTTCCAGCTTGTCACATTTTTGACATAGGAGCTTTGGCAGACGGGGTGTGCAAAGTCTGCTTGTGCTGCAGATGTTTGCTAGAGGAAAGCAAGCACTGCTCAGAGGAGCACTGCAGGAGAGTTACCCATGTATGCAGAAGCTCTTGGGACATAAAGTACCAGCTTGACATGCAACTGCAAACAGTGACCTTAGTTCCTATGTTTGGTGAGAGACTCCTATGCTATCTTTGTCTTCCTGATAACAACACCCTGCTGCAGAATGGGGCAAAAACAGTGGTCTGCTTGCGTGGGTGGATCATGTCCTCACCCGTGTTGGCAAATGTCAGAGAAACATGCAGATGTTATGGTTCTGGTCATGAAGGGTTTGCGTTTGGTCTTCTCATATGCAGCTCTAGTCCTCCTTCTGTGCCCAGTCAGGAAACAAAGTCACACCTTGGAAAGTCCTGGTAACACAAAAGGATATACTTGTCTTTGATGGAAATGTCTGCAGTGCGTGTAACACCTCTGGGAATTTGGCAAAGAAAAATCGTCATTCAAGTCTGGATGAGTGACAAGGTCAGTCTTACAGTACAATTACCACTGCTGCAAACGATCTCTGTTATCTCTGTACACGAATCCAGTCAATCTTTTCTCTGAAAAGAAAGAGTGGTTTGTCCTCAGGGCCCCTCTTCTTTCCAAAGTTAAAAAATCTTGATGCTGCTGTCAAAAAGAACCTTTACTTGTTATCCTTTATTATTCTTTAAGTGAGCTATGCATTAAAGTTTTACGTCATGACCAAAGAATATTAGAGATATCTGAAGTCTTTCCATGGGGTTACCTTCCTGCAAGCTTACAGGCTCAGAAACCTGAGATCTGTTGCTGGGAATATAAAGAGGGGATTTGCTTCTTTACAAATACGGGATTCAAGTATATTCAGGCTATTTTTTAAGCTGCCATGGTAAATCAGAAAAGACAATCTGAAAAAAAATGAATTTATATAACACAGGGAAAAAGTGGCTTTTAAAAATACCTCCCTCTGAAGCAGCATCTTGCATTTCAACTTCTGAATCATTATTCTCAAGTATCTGCAAGTGCCCAGTGTGATGGAAATTCACCATGACAACCATCACACCTTATTGTATTTTTATATCCAGGGCATTAAAATCCTGCTATGGTTGTGATTTCTGATACTTCGGTTGATATGTGAAATTCCTGTGGATCCAAACCACCTCATTCATGGACTGCATCAAGCTGCCCGTGCAACACTTAAAAGTTGCCTCTCTCACAGTACACTGTTTCTTGCCTCAGAACAAAGATGCAAAATACAAGACAACTAAGGACATTTGGAGTTTTAGTCACACGAGGAGACCTCTTCTGGAAGTGGATTTTGAAACACCGAGTTTCCTACTTGTTACAGTTATGTTCTTTGTCTAAAACAATACAAAACAGGAGATTATCACCTCAGCTTCCTGCGACCTGCACATCCTATGCTCCTGCTGTATATATCTCAGTAGGGAAATCAAAATAGGGATTGGTGGCAAGGGCACAGTTTAAAGAAGCAAATCAGTATCTCGATCCTTTCAGTATCCTTCCTGCAAACATCTGTGCATGGGCAGCAAAATAAACACCCTGGATATTTCTGCCTGTCTCCTCTGCTGGGCTGTTTCTCCCTTTTGGGAGTACTCAGTCCTCAAAGGACACATGGATTAAATTCAGCCAAAACTCTGTGTGAAGTTTCTGGCATTGCCTCAGTGTAAAAATGTCAGTCAATGAACTTCCAGAGACCTCCCCTTTGGATGACCTCCCTGACATGGATGGTAACTGCCTCGCAGTTCCACTTATTCTCCCCTAGAAAAGATATGGTAATCAAATTTAGGATTGATCCTTATCTTTCTTCTTCGTTCCACAGAGTCTGGAAGCTCAGCGTCCATGCCACTATCTGCAGGATGTGTAGATTTTATTCAGCTTTGCTGGACGCCCTGAGGTACAGACCTTTGGAGGCTGGAATAATATCCTGAGGAAGGATTGCTCTGGGCTTCCCGTGTTCTACAGATATCCACATATCTGCAGAATGAGACCCTGGGCCAGATGACCTTTGGATCAAGAGCTGTGCTGGCTGGTGTTAAGTTGCAATATTTTACTATAAAGCCTTATAATTCAGCATTGCCTTTACTAAGTTTGTAAAGGCAATAGACTGAGACCTACCAGGAGTGCTTTGCCTGGACTTATCTTGATATGCCTGCGACTTGTTTCACTTGATTCATCAGTAGCAGCATTTTTTCTAATTGAGCGATTGTCTATGGCTAATTTGTTTTACTTTTGTTTACATTTATATGATTTTATCACTTTGACATACTGATGTAGCATAGAGTAAAAAAGGTTTGCTATGACAAAAAAGGTCTTGAAAAATGGAGACAGAGGCTGTTGTGTAGAGGACCACAGGCATGCGATGATAAGAGATGTACAGGGCTGACAACAGACAGCAGTTGAAATGAAGACCTGGACCTGGACAGAACTGGTTGTTTCAAGAGTAATTAAAAGAGCAAAGATTACTGTATGTAAAAGGCACCATCTATAGTAAATTAAGTAGTAATCTAGAGCTGCAGACCAATAAGGAAAAAGCAGGGTGTAAAAGCATAGTAATAAACATACAAAAATAACCCTGAGTGGATCCTAGCCTGAGGAATAATAAATAAACCATCAAGATCATATTCCTTCCAGTAAATGATTCCCCCCCTTGCTGATAACTTATACTAACACTCCCACCACTGCTTTAATTAATAGATTAATTAAAATTAATCTTTTAAATAGTAGGACCCAAGGAGCCATGCAAGAGTGAGCATAACAGCAAGAAAGAGTACAAATTAAAACAAACAAACAAACAAACAAACAAACAAACACACCACTGTGTGTATAAATATTTTAACTGTACTGTAATTCTTATAATTCTAGCATCATCCACAGAGTTCAATGCTCCGTGACCTCATACTCAGAGCCTAGGCTCTGAGCAGCTGCTCCGAGCACTGAGGACATGAGGGCTAGCTCTGCTCTGGGGCAGCAGGGAGAAGGAATTGGGGAACCACGGAGGCAAAGCCTCGGGTCTGTCATGTCTGAGCCCATACACAGCTCAGTGATGAAAGAAGGCCCAATACGGTGTAGAAAGTCTATTTTTTTGTTGTCAATGTATAATAGAGAGGGACTTGATAAGGTAACTCAGAAAGCACATCAGATGCCTCAGGCTCTTCTAAACCACTTGCCCTGCATAAAAATACAAGAACAGTACGCAGTGGCTATACTGAGCCTGACTCTATCAAGCAGTGGGTGGTTTACATACAAAAATCTGTGGGGGCAAGCAAGTGCTCCTCTTCACAATGTGGCCCTGATACTGACAGCTGATACGGCAGAGGTGTGAGTGTAACAGGAGCAGACAGAGTGCCCAAAACTGTAGGTGTTGAGTGGGTGTTTGCTCAAAGGCTGGCAATGCCACAACAAATGCAACAGTGATTAAATTGGCTAGAGAACGACCACCAGCCGGATTGAACAGTAACCAAAGGGGTATCAAGATGCTTTTTTAACAGAGGAAGACTCGGCTAGAGAAGTAGAAAATGTGCATGAAAATGTTTTGGTGGGGTTGGCCCTCGGAAGGAATCAGTAAGGCCGGGTTTGGTGGTGCAAGAAGTGGTCCTGTTGGTCTCACACCCTCCTGGAAGAGCAGCCAGGTGTGCTGTACTGCAGCTCGTGGGCTGCACGACGAGGTGCAACACGTGAGGACCAGCCCTGAGTGTGCCGAGGGACCTCACAGCGGCTGTCACACGGGTGCGAGGATGCTTGGACTGTGTGGAGCAGCCTGGGCACAGCTAAAGTTCAAGCACCCTTGTTTCTCTGCCACACACACAGCTTGCAGTGGTGTGTGTGTGTAGTAGAGAAACCACATGGCCAGGAGAGGGGATTGCGTGTAACCCTCACGCCCTGTGACTGGGGGAGTTGCACATAGCCATGTGATGATTGTGTGTGTGGGTGTGAGGTGTCGGGACGAGGTGTTTGAAGTGTGTTTGCAAACTGGTGGGTGTTCACCAGCATTTAGTAAGGGTCCTGTACTCTTTTTTACCTGTTGCTGACATGGTTTGTGAATGTATGATTCCGTGATTGCTAGCTAATTGCTTGTTGTTGATAAATCAGTAAAACACTAACTCTCCTTGGATTGAAACCAAATGAGTTGAGCGAATCTTCCAGGTTGCTTAAGTCCATTCCTTGCCTCTGCTAAAGCTGCTCCCTGTCCTGGCACCCTGTCAGTAGGGGTCCTGCCCTCTTGTTCTCTGTCTCTTTGGTCTGTCCAGCTGTGGAAGGGAGGACCTGGTATTGCTGAGTGAAAAGATTAGGGTCTCGCAAAGTTTTTCTTCTGTATCTTCCTGCAGAGATTTTAATTTAATTGTCCATTGAAATCCCAGTTACAGAGTTCTTCCATACTCTGACACCTGACTTTGCAGCCTAGGATTTTTATTTATTTATTTTTTTCATCACTGAGAACTTCTTTTCATTTGCCTTTTTGGGGAAAGGTTGGAGATATGACATATGTACTGCTTTGTCTGGTGTTATAGCTGGAAAATACAGGTCATATTTGGGAAGCAGAAATAACTTTATTAATACTGAACTTTTGGAGAGCAAAGATGTACAGAGCAGGAAACAAGATCCTAATGAAGTGGGACAGTGAAATGGCAGGAATGTATCGTTAGATTTCCGCTGTCTGAGAAACCCTTTGTTCGCCTTGCTGGTCCAAACATTTATCAGCATCTACTTTGCAGTGCAGCATCACAAACCACCAGCCTGCTTCAGATAAAAAAATAAATAATCAAGTTATCTGCCTGACAGAAGTGGTGCTGGAAAGAGGAGAGGTGAAGTGGTGTGAAGGGAACTGGGGAGGAGTACCCCAAGGGCTTGCTGCGCTGGGCAGTGTGTGGCTGTACACCAGTGTACACCAGTGTAACAGCACCAGCACGCTGGTCACAGGCACAGAGGCTGCATGTGTATAAGTGTGGGGACCACAGGACCGCAATCCTGTTTGTTCCTGTAGGAGATCATGTAAGAGAGAGCAAGTGCATTTTTCAAATTGAGAGCAAGATCTTCTTAGTTACATAGGTGCTTAGTTCCTCTGGGAAGTGGTTTCTGCCAGGCTTATTGCAACCACTGCGCCTCAGTTCTGGTGGGGAGTGGCCAGGGTACTCGGCGTACCTCAGTTTCTTTCTCTAAAAATCTGTCATCTCATCCAGGTTGTCTAGCGCTTCAGAAGACCAGGCCCCACCCCTTGAAAGCAGCTCAGTCCAGGCGCCTAAGGCCTTTGAGATGGGTTGAAATGCTCTCTTGTCATTTCTCTTCATTTGTCTTGGAGACCACTGAGAGAAGGGAGGTAAGTTTCAGCCTAAGAGGCAAGACACATTAATGGTTTCCAGATTTCTGATCAGGAAAAACATGCGCTCTTTTGTTGCTGTGGGTCTCAAAACCACCTGCCAGGTAAAGAAACCAGCCTTTCTCTCTTCCTTCTTTCCCCAGGGTGCTATGATGAGAAGAGTAATAAAAACAATGTGCTCTCAACTACTGTGGTGGTACAGGCCACATAAATGTCAAGAATAAATTGTAATAATACTAGCAATAGAAAATTACTCTGTTACCAAGGTTTCCATGTTCCATCACATAAATATGGCACAAGCGAGGTGACGTTGAGATCTTCTCTGTGCAAACTGTATATTATTTCCAAATGCTTCAAAAGCATGATTCAGTCCTGCCAAATATTGAACTAATTTCTAAGGGGAATGCTCATGGTCTCCTGCTCATGACACTAGCTGATATTGAGTCTTTTTGGAGCAAGTCTTCAAATGTTTGTCTCTTAACCACATAGACTAGAAATATGGACTAGAAACGTGGACTTAAACGGATCATTCTTTTTTCTTTTTTATTTTTATTTTTAAGTAATAGCTAGATCAAATGTTGTGAGCTTTTCACCAGGTGTAAGACATGAACTGCTCTTAGCAAGATAATCTCTGAGGTAATGCATTGAGAGGAGCTTGTTGCCTCAGTGTGTGGGTACATTATGAAAATTGTTATGTTACAGAGAAGCAGGAGTTCTCTGCCAAAAGTGGTTAAGAAAATAAGCCTCAGAAACAGCAAGGGTCCTCAAAGGCATCTTTTTATCCCACTGTTTTGCCTTGACTACCACAGAGGAATAAAGAGATGATTATTTACATCCTGCCATGGTCCTGGGGATTGGGTATCTGTGTCATTGGCCTGGTGGTTTTTGCCTGCTGCCTCTGTCAGGCACACTTGCAGCTAAGAGTCCCTGCTGGACAGGAGGCACCCCAGGTGCCCAGATCTCAGTTCTTGATGTGACTCCCAGAAAATGTGCTTATTGCCTCATTAGTGGCTCTAGTTCATCTATGTTGAATATGTTCCAGAAATCACCACAAACCTCTCCTCTGCTTTTCAGATGGGCATGTTTCAGGGAGAAGCAGATTCCTGTAGCTTCTTTGTGTGTTACTAATGGAGGGTGAAACCTCTCGTAGAATAGGCCTAATGCTAAGATGTGCTCTCATGTCCTGTTAAAACCCTAAGGCAGCCTTCCATCAGATGACCTATCTTCCAAATGTCATGCATCTGCTTGTCTGGATTTATGGCTAGGTTTTGTTTTATGAGGGTAATGATGCAAACACTCAAGAAACAAAATCTGATTTCAGAGTTAGAGTATGGTGGAAGTTGATGGGGAAGGTGGTGAGCCTGGAGTGAAGGCTGCACTAGTTGAGGTGGATGGGGACATCAGCACAGAGAACTAAGAAACCAAGAGTGTGGTGTGATCCTGTTCCACAGATCCATGAATCCACCTGCATGGTGTCATGGACAGAAATCCCAGCTGTCACCAAGGACATGATTGTACAGGATTTTGCCTAAGAATGAGTTAAAATCCCTGCCTTGATTTGTTTGCCATGGGTCTTTGGTGAGTTGTTTGGTGGACAAGGGAGGAAAAGGCATTTTGTTTTGAGTCCTGTCTTCCTAAGGGGAGGGTCTACTTGAAGAAGACAGGTTTTTAAGAGCTCAACCTAGACAAAGTTCTGGTAGAAAGGTGTCACTGAAGGAATTAGCATAGTAGAAACCCACCAACAGCAGTGGTGGCCCATTGCGGACCTGACCAGAAGACAAACTTTCTGTTTCATCAGAAAGCAAAGGGTTCTGAGACCTGTTTTGGCAAGTCTGCTGAGGAATTTCCAGGTCTTATATGGTGACACTAAACCCTCAGGTACTCCCTATAGTATGATCCCAAAGCCTTTTGAGAAGCCTGCATTTATGTCTCTGTTCTGTGTTTTACTGTTGACCACACTTGTCTGAAGTGGGTATAAAATACTAATTCACTGACAGTATGCAATGTGGAAGCTTTTCTCTCATCTGGAAAGACTCAGAGGGCTCCTCACTGTGTGGAATATGACTGTCTTAAGCAATGAGAAGATTAGATGTCTGATCTTCACCCATCATTAAGGGCCTTCCAAAATGCTGAGGATTAGATAGATAGATAGATAGATAGATAGATGGATAGATGGATAGATAGATGGATAGATGGATGAATGGATAGATAGATAAATCACAAAGAGTATCTTGGATTCTAATATCCTATCTAGAGAAAAGACACTTGGAGAATGGTCTTGCCTTCACCTGAGATTAGAAATCAAGATTCTTTTAGGAGTTTTGAAGCAGAACAATGGAGCGAGCTTTATGTTTCTGTGGAAAGAAATAATGAGGATATCCCTAATAAAAAAGAGACACAGCAATTTAATTCTTTAATAGAAAATATGAGCACTGAGTGTATTTGATATTGAACAGGTAGGCTTGAATAGAAAAAGGAATGTGAATGTAATGTAATTTGATTGTGGCAACATCAGTTGTGTATCGGGAGTCAAAAGACAACCAGGTGAACCTGTGGAGTTGGTCTCAAGGGTTAATGGTGTATTAAGAGCCTTGCAGAAGACATCTAATCTGAGGAATTAGTGATCTTGAATAGGCCATGCATACTGGGCTTTGCAGTTAGGGTCTGAACAGCCCATATGCTAGCACGAGTGTGCCAGGCTGTGTTTGCAACCTGTCAGGAAACTTTCTATTAGCTGAACAGCTTGCTAATATAATCTGTAATTTATAATACCTTTGAGAAATGTAAACACTATGTGGATCAAGGGGTGAGATGTATCGATACTGATTGGAAGACTGTTGTACATCTTGGAGCTAGTGATCCACACAAATAAACTCAGCCAGCTCCTTGCAACAGAGGAGCCTGCAGGCAGCTCCTACTTGGTACCAGCAATTAGGACACCCACATGTCCTTGCCTTTACCTACAAGAGCAACAAGAAGCTGTCATGTAAAAATTCTTTATAAATAGAGATGTTTTCTCTAAAAAAAAAAACAAAAATCTAAAGAAAATAGTATATCTCAAATGATCAGAAAGAAAAAAATTTCTCCCCACAGATGGGATCTTCACAGTTTGCTGTGTGAAAACCCATCAGGGTCTGCCCAATGCTGCATGAATGCGGGGTTCTCAACATCTGAAAGGACATAAGGTTTGCTTGCTATTTCTATTCCTGTTTTTATTCTGTCTTATTAAAACAGCTGTTTTGTAAGTCATTTGCTGTCAGGCCTTGCTGAGCTGCAGAAAGAGCCCTGCCTGGTCTCAGCTGCTCTCACCCCTGCCCCAGCTGATGCAGAACAAGCAGCACTGCATTGACATCTGTGAACTGTGTACAACTGAGCAGTGAGCAACACACGCGGGAAAAAAACAGGGGAGTGTAGGAAGCAAGGGTCATGGTGCACTCAACTCACCCCGTCTTGACCGTGCAAGGATTGCACAAGGTGGGGGCACCAACTGACATCTCTTCCTTCAGTGCATAAGCGGTAATTGTGCTTCACGGGGCAGCAGACTGCTTTGCAGGAGAGTTTTGGGGTATACTGAGGGAAAGCAGTGAAAAAAGATACTCAAGCAGGGATGATGCTGTGGAAAGGGTAATTTCAAGCTGAACAGCTCTGAGTGAGCCGTTCTTGTCTGCTTTTTCCATAAGCAGTTTGGGATTGGGAGGAGGCAAGAAAACATCTTTCCTTTGAAAATTTACCTCAAGGGTATGTGCTGGTAAGTCAGCTGAGCATCTGTCCAGCTACCTACCATATTTGTAGCTGCCAAAGCTTTTCAGTTGAGTGTGTCTGTGTGTATGTATAGCCACATGCATGCACAAACACACACACACATGCTGCTTTCTGAAAAGATATATTTGGAAAGTGAATTTGTTCAGCTATCTGAGTTTAAATGCTACTGTTTTCTGTATGGAAATTGCTTCTCTGCACCTCTGTGTGCAAATACATCTGCACAGTAACTAAACACGAGCCACCCATCAGAGAGCCATTCCCTGTGACGCAGTGGGAGCACCTGAGTCTGCAGCAGAGAGGACCTCTATACAGCCTTATGCAACATGCAGCAAGAGTTATTTATTAGTCCTGCAGCTCAGAAATACTGTTTTGTTCGTTTTGTTTTGTTTATCCTTAGTGCCATAGAAGTTGCTAGTGTGATTTCATGCATCCACATGCTTGCTTTTTGAGGGTGTTTATGCTGGTACCATAGCAGACAGAGTCTCTGTTGGGAATCCTATACAATATCAAGTATTAAACTCCTAGGCCTTTAAATTATGCTTTGTAGTCTCACTACTTACCTTGAGTCATTTAATCTTGCTTTGTCTAGGTAGCTGCTTTGTGCCTGCTTCCTCCTGGGAGCTAATCCTCATGGCATCTCACTGCAGTTGAAATCACACTGCCAGCCAAAGCTAGGCTGGGTGCTTGTGCTTTCTGATATCATCTGTAGTTAGAAAAGCAGAACAGATTTTGGGGAGCGTAGATTTTGGGAGGGGGTAGGGAAAAGAGATGCCATCACAAGATCTGTTTCTCAGCTTGACTTTTGAGTGACCTTGAAGCAGGGCCAGAAATAGAAATGTTGCATAAGAGTATTTATCTGGGCTCAGTGCTGATGGCGAACCCTTGTGCTCCTCCACCACAGCAAGCTCAAAGAGAAAGCCACCCATTAAACCTGTCTCTCCTGTCCTGGGCAGTTGGAGACCCACCAGGTCTTGAGAAATGCCAGCAGCAGGCATTTCAATCATAGGAAGTGCAGCTCTGAGGCATGCTACGTGTGTTTCTGGGGCAATAGGCACAGGATGAGGGATGAGCTTTGCTGCTGGTGACGTTATGGCTGTGCTGTAGTCACCTTTTATTTCTGGGTAAGGCAGATTTATGGTCTTCTCTGGCCTGCAGTTCCTCCTGGCATATGGCCATTGCCTTCCAAGGGAGACCCTATCCAGGGTCTCAAGCATGTGGGATGAAGAAATCAGGCTGCT